GTTAGTTGGTTTACACCTTATTTTCTAATTCTAGAAAATATTTCATAATTCCAGGAAATGTACTTCTCATATATAAAAAATATAATAATATCTAAGAAAGCAGTTACCTTGAATAAATGATATAGGGCTTAAGGTGGGGTATATATTTATTACCCAGTAAGTAAATCTTGGTTCTATTCTTTTTCTTTTTAACTATTTCATTCAATATTTTTTAAGTTAACCTTTAAAAACCCTTACATGAGGAGTTGGAGCAAATCCAATAAAATTGTCAAGCCTCCTAAAATTCATTCTGGTAAGGTAGTATATAAATGACTAAATCCAGCAACTAAATAATACTATGAAATTGCTAAATTCAGTAAAAAATTTTAAATACTCAAATTGTGTACATTTTCACTCATTTGATATTTCTCAGTAAAGATTACATGCAAAACATTTTACTAAATATGATGAGGTTTAAAAAAGTTAATCTTCCAGAGCCCACAGTTATAGTTTAGTGATTTATATGCTGATGAACCTTTGAGATTTTATTTAGTGTTATCAAAAAATTGAGAGACAAAAAGGCTGATCTCCATCATTTTGCCAGGGAAATGCATCTCCACTGACATACAAAATGAGTGGAGGCAAATGAGGACAGAAAAATAAGCTGTCAGGCAAATAACAATATTGCCAGTATGTGTGTGAATCTCAATGGAAATACATTTTAATCGGTCCTCACAAGGCACTTTGGGCTTATGTTTCACTCCCCAGTTGTGTAACTAATCAGAATAGTGAAAGTTATGTTTTTCTCTTACTGCTGCATTTCTTTGTCTCCAATAAGAGAATATGAAAAAATGATCTGTAAGGATGAATTACTGCTAAAATTCATAGTCTATGCACCCAAGCTATTAGTATTTTTCTTATGGAATTATAATTTTCCAATAATTAGTTCATAAAGTATGGGTTTGAAAATTGTTAATAACATAAAATTTAATCTTGCTTTTTACCCAAGAAAGAAATTGAAACCCAAAGGGATCAATGATATTGGACCAAAACGTACAGCTTAACTATGCAGAACCATGTCAAAAATCCATATAAAATTTGTAATCACCTTATCTTTTAGATTTGTATAAAACTATTGTTTTATTATTCTTTAGTCACGTGAAATTTTCTTTCAAGTGTGTTTGTGTGCCTTTGCAAATCTTCCCTTCCTTTATTTCCATTGTCTGCATTTACTGCAGAAAATTTTCAAAAATATCATTGAGTAGTTTTCTTTAAATTTATTTAAAATGGTCTTTTTGTTAAATTCTGTTAAGTTACAGCCACCCAAGTAACTTCAGCATGCTAGTAATTGTGATTAGCATGCATATTCAAATACATTATACTTCACTGACAAGCAATGATGACTATAAGAAGGTGGTAATTCAAATATCCCAATGTTTAGAGTTGACATTAAAAGTGTGACACTGATTTTTAAGCTTATTTGATGATTTTCATTGCTGAAAATATTTTTGAAACTTTTTGGACTTGCTTCCAGAGTCTGTATCATATTATTGCTAGGAAAATGTATTTCTGCCTGTGTATGTGAATTATAGTTGTCAGTAATACCATTGGTTAAATTTGGCAATGGTAGCATTTTGGTTAGTAATATAACATGACTACATAGTAATGATGTCTTAAGGTGGTTCATAGTATTGTTCTTACAGAAGTTTACAGCTTAGAGATAGAAGTGAATATACTTAGATACTGAAATTTCCATTAACATTTAGTCTTCAGCAGAAAAAAAAGGTAAAATAGGCAATGAATGATAAGCCACACTCAGCCTGCATGAAATCTATTTGGGTGAGAGTAAGTGACATTCTTTAACATGTATTGACTTAGCATAATTCTTTTCCAACATTGGATAATCACACACTAAGGCACACAGATCACACATTCTACATATGTCAACATAAAATTGTGATGCAAAAATGGTCTCTTAATACTATTACCTTAGGTTATGAAGCAGGAACCATGATTACAGGGAAAGGAATATAGACAAATGTTCCACTATCGTCTTTTTGTTTAGAGAAAGTCAGTAACTGGAGATTTTAACACAACTATATACACACACACATATATTATGAACAACAAAGAAAAACTAAGTTGAGCTAATTTAAGCATGGCAAAAGGAATAAGCATATAGAATAAAAGGAATAAGCATATAGGATAACTCATTGAATCCAAGAACTGTAAAAAATTGAACCTCACAAGTGACTGTTAGCATGAGTGGAAGACTTTATACATTCTTCTCTGTAAACACGTTTTCTGTCCTCACTGGCCTTTTGATTACCCTCACCATAAAATTCATCTGCCACCTTTTTTCCATCAGTGAGCTTAGACACTCACCTAATTTTAAGGAATTCAGTGACGAATGGTGGGTCCAGTCTGGGTCATTTTCTCCCCCAGATCAAATCAACTGTGATCAGAGGAACAGAGTGGGCTGGAGTGGGGCCGGGGGGTGGGGTGCAGGGAGACAGCATTCAGAGAAGGAATGCTCATAACCTAGGCATATACCCCAAAATGTAACCGCCATACCATATTGAAATACTTTAAAACTTAGAGTTGCTTAAAACAAAATCTTATGTTTAGAACATATGATATTTATAGAATAATTAAATGTTGTTCCATTACAAAGTATTTTAGTTCCACAACAACAACAAAAGATATAATAGGAAATACTGTCCTTAGAGTATACATCAGTAATTGGATTTTTTTTAAAAAAACGGATTTTTTTTTGAAAGATTTATTTATTTTTGCATACAAGAACTAGGGTACTGGCCAGAGGTATGGGGGGTGAGAGGACCCACCAGAGACAGAGTGGGAAACAGAACAGGTAGACTGACTGAAATACACTGCTGAGGGGAGCAGTGGGCGAGACAGGACAGGTCTGCTGCACCATGTGGGTTGCTCCCTGGCCGGGGATCGAACTCATTCATGCTGCAGTGGCTGCAAACAGCTTCATAGGTTGCATCTTAACCCCTTGCCCCTCCAGGGAGGCCCCCCAAAATGGATTTCTTTTGATTGACAAAAGTTTGACCTTTGGAACTTGTTTTGCTTAACTATATTGAAGAATTCAGCCACCCTATGCAATGAGCTCTTTGGGATAGAAGCATTGCTTGTATAAATCTAGCAAACAATTATACTTGTGTCAGTTTTATTTGAGCCAGAGGTAAAGGTAAGACAGTTACTGAAATGTTCAGTGATCCTCACTGATGGAACATATGTACATCTGTGTAACATCAGACATTTTTGAAATGTCCTGATCTTTATAATGATGAATCCACTTAGAACTCATTTAGCAATCTGTACTCTCCTTCCCGATTCTTTCACCTACTACACTACTGAGTTATCTTATTATATGAATGTACACAAACATATATTTAAAATAGGGAATTGGTACTTTTATTTTCGAGATGGGTTAATCATCCTAACTTCTGGTGACTTTTCATTCCCTAACAAACAGTATTGATCATTGGAACCTCAGGTACCTGATACAGTCCTACTCAAGTGGGTCTATGTCCTATACTAATCATTGAGAGAAGGGGGAAAAAACTCTTGGACCTGATAATATTTTTAAAGTTAGAACAAATTTACATCAGCAACAGCTGAGAACATGCTCCGTAATTACAGATATAAGCAGATGTACGGAAAGATACCGAGTGCTGACAGGAAATAAAATTCATAGACAAAAATCTCCAAGTAACCAAACATTATTATCTTTTGCTGATTTAGCCCAATCAATACTAATCCCTCAAGGCTAAATTTGGTCCAGATAGAATCTTACTTGAAAGCCTTAGGGAAGAGTATCTGATTCCCACGGACATTAGACATGCTCATTTTTCAAATAGAGTTTCCATTGTATCACCACTTATTTTTGGTCATAAACATTTTATCTTTCACACTCTGACATCCTTATAAGGGATAAAAGGGAGGTGGTAACATTTTCTATGGTGACTCTGTGCCCAGCACTTTGTATGTAATATCTCACTTTATTTTTTTTTGTGATATCACTTTATAATTACCTCATTGTATCTTGAGGAAATGGAGACTCTGGGATTGCAGTTACTTGTCCAAGGTTATCCTTCTATACATATTATATATGGTACTTTGTTTTATATAAAATAGACAATATATGGGTATAATGTATGGCACTCATGTGTACTCTGTCATATGAAATATATATCTAGTGAATAACTATTATTGTGTGAAATATGTATGATATAACATCCAGTGTTGTTCCCTTCCTAAATGGTAATTAAGCATAATTGCTCCTCATGGAAGAACATCAGAAGGTAGAAAATAAAAATTCTAGGTTTGGCTTAAATACAAACTAAGTATGGATTTGGGGCTAATGACATGAATTCCAGGTCTTGGTTTCTTATTCTAGGTAATATGTCCCCTCATCTTCCTTACTCTGTATACATTTGCCTCTCTTACATTTTTATCTTAATAAGAAGTAGCATATATACGATGGAAATATAAAGTAAATATGTTCCTTCATTATTTCCTACTTGTTTGGAAACTAAAATTCAGAAAATTTAAATACTTCTCCACCTCTTGCACTGTTATGTTCGCAGTGCCTACACTAGACCCTAAAATTTAGTAAGCACTAAAGTATTTGTCAAATGAATAAACAGTGTACATTTTCTGTTTATGGGGATTGGTACAATCTTCACAGTTGTATCTCCTTTCCTGGAACAGTCTCTGGTCCTGCCAGATGATAGACCCTCAATCAATAAATATTGTCACAAAGTCTGGAAACTAGGGATATTTACTTTATTATCATCATGAAGTTGTTCAAATGGGAAGCAAGTTTGTATATCAGTGTTTCTTCGAAAGATGCATTTATAGAACAATCAAAGAGGATAATGACTGAAATTAAGCCAATTAAAATGAAAAGTGCAATGAATAAACTAAATAATTTCCAGTTTCCAGATTTTGTGCCAGAGCCTGTTCATTTTGTATTCTCTTTCCTTCCTTAGGCTGTGAATTTCTGGTATGTACTGGTGATGAATGATGAGCACACAGAAAGAAGATATCTTCTGTTTTTCCTCCTAAGTTGGGGTCTTCCTGCCTTTGTGGTGATTCTGCTCATAGTTATTTTGCGAGGAATCTATCATCTGAGCATGCCGCAGATCTATGGACTCATCCACAATGACCTGTAAGTACATTAAGGGAGAACACATTGTCTTCTTAGTCTCAATGTATGCAGGCAGTATTATTAATAATGGTGGAAGCAGTTGATAAGAGATGTGATTAAAGCAGTACCAAGAAGACCTTTGCTTTTTTTGTTGTACTCTCTGAAGTTCTACTTCCTCTAATTGCCTATTAAAAAATCTGTTGCCTCTGTAGTACCTTTAATAAGTGCAATTGTCTCAAGTGAGTTGTAATTTGTAAAGAGTCTGGGATTGGGAGTGAGAGGGGGTGTATTAGAAGATGGCGGAAAAATCACTGCCCATAAGTTCCTGAAATACCAAAGTCTGTATTAGAATAAATGGAGAATCTGCAAAAGTGCATGGGTAAGAGACAAGCTCAACTAGGTCTTTCTTATATATTCCTATTAAAGTACAATAGTGAAGTATATTACTAACAAATCTTTACATTCACATATATGTGCACAACTTAATCTTGAATCTGGTATCTTACAACTTAGAGGACTACTCAGTTCCTTTCATTGACTCCATATGCAAAGTAAAATAATCTTTGTAGTGTAAAAGTTCAATCAGTTCTCTTGGTATAGGGAATATAGAAAAAAATAACATCCCTAAATAACAAAGAATAAATGATACACAGTACTGTTTATTGTGAAGATAAAAAGTGATTGATAGACATGAAAAATCTTTAGAGGTATAAGCAGAAGTAATTTTAATTATTGCTGTTGATCAATTATGATCATCTATTATATACTTAATAAATACTTATTAGGTATGCAAATGGTTTTCTCACAGAAACAATGCCAGACATAGACCCCACATCACATTCAGCCAAAGGATATTATGTAATACACACATAAACATATTGAGAATACCACATATAATCATTTTGCCTTTTTATTGAGATTAAGATTCTCTGATGTTGTTTATGGTTTTATAATGTGCTTTGTTCATATAAAATTCTAAGCAGATTCTTTTAGAAAAGAATAATCATATATTTTCAAAACTATGCTATGGCATTTAACTACCCCTGGAATTAAGTTTTTGACTTCCAGATTTAATTCCAGAAAGTTCTGCATCATTCTTTGTCAAACACAATGTAACTATGACCAGCAACCCATTCCTTTCATGAACTCCCTGGCTTATTTAGTGGCAGTTTTAACATTACATTTATACAGCCCTGCTTTGATGAATGGAACCTGATGAAAGTGGTATTAATTAGAAGAAACTCTCACTTAAAGTTTCTAAAGTGATTTTTAAAGAGAAAAATCAACTATTATACAGTAATATCCAAGTAAACTAACTCTAACTCTTAAAATATTTGCCACCTTAGGATTTTGCAAAAATTTCTTTATGACCAGTTCAATTTTAATAAGTACAATATAAAATATAATTTACCTTTGCTTGGTTTTAGTATTATAGGATTACTAGGACAAATGTGCTTAACCTTTGCAATTATAAGAGGTTACTTTTCTCCTTCACTCACATGAAATATTCCTAAATCATATACATGTGAATTTACTCCAGTTTTAAAAATCTGTATTTTTAAATATCACTTTAATCTCAATAGAAGGATGTTAATTAAATAAACTTTAAGTAAAATATATACATGTCATTAAAAATATGCTATTTCTATATGTAATGATAGATTTTGTGGTTTTATAAAATCAAAATTCATCTGTTATGCAATAGTTACTTTGTAAGAATAACAAATTTCTTTAATGAAGAATTTTCTCTAAATGTATCTCTAATACATTGCTATATAAATTATATTTGTCAAATTCTAAAATTGATAAAATATTTCATGATAATTTCATAAATACAGAAAGTGATTTCTATCTTCCCATTAGCAAAAAAATTGGGTGTTATTTCTTCCTTAATAACCTCACACATGAAATCACTAGGCCTCAGATTTTCTGTACAGAAAGACTTTTAATTACAGGTTTAATATGTTTTGAGTTAATTTTTGTATATTGTGTGAGATAGTGATCTAGTTTCATTTTCTTAAATGTGGTTGTTTAATTTTTCCAACACTATTTATTGAAAAGACTTTCTTTTCTCCAATATATACTCTTGGCTCCTGTGTCAGAGCTTAACTGTCCATAGAAGCATGGGTTTATTTCTGGGCTCTCAATTCTTCTCCATTGATCTCTGTAGCTCTTTTTATTGCAATATGTACCATACTGTTCTGATTACTATTGCTTTGTAGTATAGTTTGAAGTCTGGGATTATGACACTTCCATTCTTTTTTTTATCAAGACTGCTTAGGGTGTTTGAGGCCTTTCATGCTTCCATATTAATTTCAGTTTATATCTTCCGTTTCTTTGAAGAATGCCATTGAAAACTTGGACAGGGGTTGCCTTGAATCTGTACTTTGCTTTCGGTAAGACCTGAAACTATAAAAAACACAGAGAAGAATGTATTGACTTTTTTTGTTACCCAATATTTGTTCTATCTTTCAGAAAGTTCTGTATGTACTTGAGAAGAATGTCATTTAGATTTGTGGGGCTAGCGTCTTCTATGAATGTTTATTTAGCCTACCTGGTCTAATTCCTCATTTAATACTGTTTATTTCCTTGGGGATTGTCTGTTTGGTTCATCTGTCCTTTGTTGTAAGTATTGTGTTGTCAGGGTCTGTTTTTATGTTTATAAGTAATTGCTGTACATATTTTTATTCTCCTTCATTTGGTGAATATATATTGATCAGTGTCATGTTTTCCTGTTGTATTGATTCCTTAATCATAAATACTGGCCATCCCTGTCTTTTGACCTTTTTAAACTGAAAGCATATTTTGTCTAATATAAGCATGGCTGTAACTGTCTTTTGTAGGTAGCATTTGCTTGTAGGCTTACTTTACAGGACAGCAGTATGTAGATGCCAGAAAGTAGCTTTCTTTTTCCAATTTGGCCAGCAACTCTGTGCCTTTTACTGGTGAGTTCAAACCGTTGACATTTAAGGAAAATATTGATACCTAAGTATTTATTGCCATTTTTCTATTTGTTGTCTTCATGTTTTTGAAGATTTCCTTAGGAAAAGTCAAAAAGGCAAACCTAGATACTCATATAAAAAGAAATTTAACAATATTTTTTTAAGATTTATTTATTTATGCATACAAGAGCTGGGGTACAGGTCAGAGATTCAGGGGAGTGAGAGGATTCACCAGAGACAGAGTGGGGAACAAAACAGGCAGACTGACTGAAATACACTGCTGAGGGGAAGCAGCCGGCAAGACAGGGGAGGTCTGCTTCGCCATGTGGGTTGCTCCCTGGCCGGCCGGGGATTGAACTCATGCTGCAGAGGCTGCGAATTGCTTCATAGGGTGGTGCTTAACCCCTTGTGCCACCAGGGAGGCCCTTAACAGTATTTTTAAATATATATTTTAAATTTATCAAAAAGTTCTAAGGCAGCAATTCCAGTTAGTTTGTCATTACTTTTTAATTGTGAAAATTCTGCTTGTGCTGCATCCTTGAACTTCATTATCAGCAGTATTATTCCTCTACATGCTCAAGCTAGAAAATTTGGAGTCATCTTTAGCAGCTCCCTCTCCCCCACTTTCCACATCCTGTTAGTCACAGGGCTATTGATCCTTTTGATAACACTTGAAGCCTGTTTTCTCCTGTCCTTTTATATTTCATAGACCTAATTCAGGTCTTCATGATGTTAGAGCAAGTCTGTTGCTTGTTCATGGTGGTTGTCATGAACAACCACCTTAGTGGTTGTTCCCACTTACTCCCCACTTTAGTCAGTTTCCCATACCATCCCTAAAGTTAATTCTAAAACAAGGTCTACTTAAAACTCTGTGTCTTTCTGGGAAAAAAAAAATCCATGCAATTCCTTTAGTGCATTGGCTTCAACCTATATTTTCTAGTATTTCATAGTCACTCATGCATGCTAAGCCCTGCAGCTATCCTTTTTAAACTAAGGTACTTATTACAGTGCCAACAAGCCACAGAGCTTTGGTTAGACATAGATTATCTTCTTCAGGTTTAATTTTATTTAAATATCTAGGGTATAAAAAAGTAGTTTAGCTGGTGGATAAGTTTAGATATTATTTTTATGTTAGATTCATAATATTATGCTGTGTGACATTTGAATGGAAATACACGCACAAGCTCTTATAGGAGCACATACAGATCCTGGGCAAAATTATGGAGATAATAAAAAGTGAAGTGGTTGCTTGATTGGGGAAGGGAAGAAGGATGAATAGGAGGAACCCAAAGGATTTTTAAAGTAGTGAAAATATTCTATCTGATAATATAATAAGGATGGATATGTTATTATATACATTTGTCCAAATTCATACAATGTACAATACCAAGAGCGAACCGTGTATAGGCCAAGTGCTTAATTTGCAGTAAGAGTGAACTACTTACTTTGGGTCATTATGCTATGTCAATGTAGTCTCATCAGTTACAACAAATACACCAGTCTGGTGGAGGATGTTGATAAGGAGTGAGCTTGTGCATATGGGAAATCTCTGTACCTGCCCCTCAATTTTACAGTGAACCAAAAACTTCCCTAAAAGTAGTCTCAGTAAAATAAGTATACAGAGATTTTACAATTTTATACATTTGATATACTTCTGACAGAAGAGAATTAGGGATCTAATAATAAATGCAAGAATTTTCCACAGACCCACTTGTGGCTACGTACATTCCAAGCCTTGTTTTTCTTTCATGTTCTTTGTGATGGATCCTCGTTGAATATTTCATATTGCTATGTAACCTCTGACCCAGTGTGTCCTACTCACTGATATCCAGGGAAATGGCACAGTGACAAATGGCTAACATAAGAGGAAGTGACTTCATAAACGGAAGTGACTTCAAGCCAAATTAATATAACCTCCATTCTCTAGCAAAATGTATCTCTGTATGAACTTTCCCCTTACCTGCATTCCAAATTACCAGTCATTCCATCTGACCCAAAAGGCAGTGTGGCAAAAGAGAAACTGGGATAAAAAGACAAGAGTCTTAACTGATTGCAATGCAAATATCTTACTCTTGTGAATTTTACAAAAATCTATGACCATATGAAAATATTGCCTTGAAATGGACTATGCAAAATAGAGGCCCTGAAGGAATCAGCTTTATTAGCTTCATGGTACATATACTCCATTTCACTGTAAGATATATCACACTCTACTGATGCCTGATGATGAATATATTTGGAGTCTAGAGAATGGAAAGAAACAAAACCCTGTCATGTAGCTTTCAGGGCTGAGAGTCATACTGCAAAGTTTTTTCTCCTTTGATTTCCTTATCTGTTTCCCTTTTTACCCCTGTGACCCTATTCTATCTAGCCTCTGTATCTTTGCCCATTTTTCTCTTCTTCCTGGGGAGATTATTGATGGATCTTTACATCCGCAGAGATGCGCATATATAAGAAATACTAATCTTGCTTTTT